ATCACCTACAGCATGCAGCCTGGAGTCTTGTCCAGACAGATTTTTAATAGGTCTACTGATAAGATTCTGAATCCTCTGGGAAGTTGGTTCCAGTGTTGGACCATCCTCATGGTAAAAACATATTTTCTTGCATTCAGATTGATGCAAGAAATCAATCTGAATCAATCTGATGCAAGATTGAGTTTTCTGAATTTTAATTTCTGCTCATTGCCTGTAGTCCTTTCAATGGGTATTCCAGAGAAGAGTCTGGCTGCCTCCCCTTCATACCCTGCCATCAGACAGTTATAGGAACTGAAAAGATCCTCCTGTGAACCTTCTTATCTCCAGGTTACTGACAGGTTAATGCTTGTTCTGCTGATATAACAGAAAAATCTGGTTCTGGTCATGCTTCATTTTCTGAGGAGTTGGGACACTTCTCTGAATCCCAGGAAAGCTTTTTAAAGGTTTAATAAGTAGGCTTAAAGAAAGCAACTTGCTTCAGTGACATCTGTTAGTCTAGGAAACTCTTCCAAGACCTTTGCTGGCACTCTGAATCTTGTTCTTGGTCAGCTCTTAGAGACAAACATGAAACTGAGTTGGCATATGGAGTCTAATAAACCTCTCTGCTTGTGTACTCTTATTTATATACTCACAGTAAAAGGCTCATCAATTCCTTGGAAAAAGAAAACTACATTTTCTAAGTATTCCATGAAATAAATGAAAAATAAAAGTTGCTTCCTATAAATAATTTATGTCTCAACATGGTTGAGATATCAGAATTATTAAGAAGTGCTGTAAGAAGGGTATTCCACTTAATTTTAACCACCAATATATGCTGGAGTGCTAAACCATAGATTGCAAATAGCTAGAAATAAAGTGAAGAAAATCTACCATAGAGTTGTCTGAATTTGTGGCAAAATCAGTCACAGTAAGCACAGAATTTGATCCCATACTTAAAATGTTACCCTGACATTGTGTCATGGATCACTAGATCCAGAAAAAATAACATCCTCTCACTGATTTCATTTAGGACTGGGAATGATTCATTTCATTGAGAAATCCAGAAATGAAATAACAAAAAAAATATATACAACTGTTGAGAGAATAGAAAAACTTGTTCCAAAAGTCAAAAGGGATCTCATTACCTTTGTCCATAACTGGGTACATTTGAAACTTGGATGTTGGAAAATACGTTCTTCAACTACAGCAAATTCTTTCCCTCAGTTATAGAACATAGTTTCAAAGTAATTGGACTGGAGCCCTGCTTTTGTTGCCCATGTGTCTGACTCTTACCAATTCTGTTTACAGAAGGACTGCAATTGTCCTGTCTGTGGAGATGTGGTGTGCTCTCTGCTATTGCCCAACGAGTCTGTAGAACACACAGGTTAATGATTTTACTCTTCAGCTAACTGAGCACTTAGTTAAAGCCAGGGCTGTTCCTTATATTCCTATAAATGAACACTTAGTGAAAGCCAGGGCTAAATTTATTCCTCAGCAAAACTGCAAATGAGTTCCATTGCAATTATAACCTCAGCATCAATGTAGGTGGAACTCATGAGAGACCTTCATTGTGTTCAAGGACACAGACTCTGGGAACGCTTAAGTGACTAAGAACTGAGTGAATAGCAGGGCAAGTAGCAGATAGAAAAGTTTTAATTGAGTGGCATTATATTTTATTTTTTAACCAGCAGGGAGAACTATAAATGAAACAGCTGTGCTGTGAAGTAAACACAAGCTGGTGAGCAGCAGGTTAGTAAAATGATGGGAACAGATCAAAATATTTTGTTTTCATAAAGGAGAAGGTTTTTTTTTTGTTTTTATCCTATCACTAAGCCTTTTATGTAGAATATCTACACATTAATTTCCAAACTTTATTTTACTGAAAAGCCCCAAATATTCCAACACCATCAAAACAAAAAATTGAAACATTACAATAATACATAATTTGCATGAAAAACTTCCAACAGAAATGTCAGCAAAGCTGACAGCTTTTAAGCATGTTTCAACAACAAAATCAGTTCCAGAAGATAAACACAAAAAAGAAGCTACAGAAGATAAAGACAAAAAAATCATGCCAATCAACAGTTTAGTCCTTTTCATCTCTAAAGGATAATTATGAACACCAAGGAGTTTAGAACAAGAGCAAAGAAACTCAAAACATCTGAAGTTTTTCTACACTTTGATAGAAAAAGTGAAGAGTGTATAAAAGTGCCCTTGAGTTTTTTTACTTAAATTCTTACAACACTCTCCCCCTTTTTACTTTCTTTCCATTCTGTTTCTCTGCATGCTGTGCCCATCCCCAGGTACTACACACTAACTGCTCTCTTGCTGCCCTCTGACCACACTTGTCTTTTCTGTAGTATGCTTAAGAAACTGCCTCCACTCCCTAGTACAGGAGTGACTCACCCACTGCTCCTCTTCACAAGAGCTGTCAGTGTGAAAATATATATATACAAGGCAAATTGGGAGAAGAATGATGCCTCTCCTAGCTCACCAAGAAAATAATTCATCTATTTTCTATAATTATGGAGAAACATGGATTATTTCAGTCCCTCTTCTCAGCAAATCCCAGAGTTGTGTCAAGGGACAGTATTGTGAGAAAACACAGCATTAGGAAAGGACAAGAAACATCCAGAGTTGTGACTTTAATTAAAGCAAAGCTCAAGCTGAGTATGTGTTTAAGGGCTTTTGTAGAATTTGGGACTGAAAGATGATAGTAGATGCATTAAATATGTGCTTTGGTAGAAAGTCTACATAGAGATAAGATAATCATTTAATTATGTGTAGCTAATTAAAGCAAACAGCAGGATTTATCTATTTGCTGCACTGAGACAAAAACAACCAAAGCACTGTCCCACTAGAGCTGTACAACAATATACAGATCTCAGGTCAGCTACTGCAACATTTTTCCAGACATACTCATAATTTGATTTTTGTGTGTAACTCATGGGGGTCAGGTTTGGAGGGAAGGGGGAGTAGAACAGGCGAAATCTCTTAGTTTGCAAGGGGAAGGCAGTCAGCATTAAACATAGGAAATCAGTTTTGTTACAAAATCACTTGTGACACATCCTTTTCCTGTGGGAAAAGAAAACATGATAGATGCTGTACTACTGGTAACACTGTCTCACCTACTAAACCATGCAACATTACACCATTTCCTCAGAGAATGAGACATTTAATCTGACTTAATTTTTAATTAATTTTTATTTAAAAATTAATTTATTTTTTATTAGACTATTTTGGAAACATGTAGACGAGACAAGAAATGTATCAGCAGAAAGCAAGCACAAGGGGCTTAATCCCTCTGCCTTCACGGCAGTTGTGTCAGAAGTGCATGATAAATGCTCCTCAACTCACTGAGCTGTTGCTTGTCTACATCCATGAAGAAATGTAAAGTCCCAAGTTAATAGAATGGCTGTGTCATGAAAACACCCCAAGAAAATGAATAATTCTGTTTACATCAGAGAAAGGGAGGGAATAACTCAAAGCATCTCACTAAGCAACCAACAAGAAAAAGTGAAAACTGAATTAGTATTAGGTCCAGTCATTGAATAAGCAATTTTTTTATTCTTAAGGATTTCCCATAGAAACAAATCTTACTGCAAGGACAAAAATTGATAAAGTCTTGTTTCTACTGGATTTATGGCTCTTTGTGGATTGACTTTTTAACTGAATTATAGCAACATTTCCTTTTATCTCCATATATAACTGGATTATGAGGCTGAGGTAACTTGTTTTCTTTTCTCTTCCTGCTACAACTGTCCTCCAGCAAAGTAGAAAAAAAAAAAAAAAACTCAGTTCCTTTGTCTACTTAAACATCTCAAGTATTAAGCTAAAGTAATCTATTTCCCCTACAGTATCTCCCACTACCTGCATACATATGAGCAGTCACAGCCAAGAGAATAGAAATGTTTCCAGGACAATGTTACAGGTGTTTAAATGTTTTTTAGCCTTTATGGCCCATTCTTCAGCAAATCTAGCAGAACAAAATTGCTTTTGAAGCCTCTGTTTCTGGAGAACTTTTAGGAGGTGATATCACACTCTGGTCAAGTGACTCCCTAAGCTTTGTTTCCACCAAAATAAGCATAAAAATAATGACTACATAAAAATATAGGATGTAATAATGCAAGTTCACAAAGAAGAAGAAAACCTAAACAAGATTTTATTTGACTTTTGAATCTTAGTTTTTGCAGCCTTAATATTTACTTAAAGTAATTATGACTATTTAGACTATATATAATCATATTTTGACCAAAAAACACTCATATTTTAAAGTGCATATACTTAGATATATACGTATACAAGGAAATGCCATTTATATATTTACACATTCAGTTATACACCACTGGATGATAATATTTGGTATTATTATTTATGCATCTAGAATAATTGCTATTCATTGCATTGCTCTTAATTTCCAGCTATAATAGATAACATTTCTCCAGTAAAAACTGCAGTGCAAAAAAAAAAACAAAACAACTTAATCTTTGCTACTGTCACTTGCTCTAACAGAAGTACTGTTAATTGCAAACTGGGGATTCTACTATTAAGATTTCAATAACTGTAATTTCACTCCAGAATAAAGTAATATATCTTCTTTGTAAAAGCAGTTTAAGTGACAACTGTTCATCTTTACATGTAGCAAAGATATCTGCATAACATGAAGCAGTGCTTTATTGCAGTCAAAAAGCCTTCTGCAGACAGTTTTCTTTAGCCTTTTTTGAAGAAAATACAAGTAGGTGGCCATAAGGATGAGTGTCCATTGTTGAAGTGGTTTAGGAGCAAGCTCCACTGCTCAGACATTTACAAAGATAAAACCATCTTTGCTCTAGAGAATATGCAATTATCAGTCTTAAATGAAATTGATGAAAAGGCCCTGATGGATATTGGACCAGGATGCATGAGCAGGAAAGGGCAGATCTGGGCTTGAAGTTTCATGCATCTATCAGAACACACAGCAGCTCTTTAATATTGTTAAAGAAAAACTGGAAAAAAAGCAGGATTTTTCACTGCTTACTAACCTGGACTATCTTCTTTTCTGGTTAGCTGGCTGGTGATTTTATTTTTCCCATGTTGAAGTGGTCAGATGAAATACAGTTTCCAAACATCTGAAACAAAAGCCAAGCAAGCAAGAGGATAAAATAACTAAACTGCCTGGGGAGCTTACATGAAATGTCTAAATTTAGACAGTTTTTGCTGCTTTGCCTAACAGAACAGGTAGAATCCCATGCACCACTGAAGTCCTGTTCAATATAATTTTTCAGGGCTTCAGTGTAAGTAACACACAGGTTTCACTTTCCTCCGGGTAAATTTTCTCAACAGTGCTGTGGGTGAATATCTCTAGCTCAGAAATTCAGTTCTACCACACTGAAGTGTTTTTAGTCCTTTCAGGGGTCAGAGGTAGGAAAGTGCAGAAAGCCCAATAAAATAAATTGGGCCAATTTTCTGCAGGCTAACTACAGAATGCAATGAAGAATTTGTCCCGATTACTTGTAGTGACTTGGAATTTACCTTTTTTATGAGAAATAAGAAATTTTAGATTTTACTTTAATCTCAGTACAGCATAAAGAAAGTATCCTATAAATCAGAGAAGTGGTTATTGTCATAAATGACAACTTTTATAATCTTATAGTGGATCAGCGAGTATTAAAGTATTAATTTTTTTCTTAATTTGAAGCCAATGTCGTGTTCTATTTTTTATGAGCTGCATCAAATGAACATAAGGTTATGTAGTTGAAGTGATAAGACTAATAAATTTTAAGAGCCATTTCCTTCAGCACAATGTAGTTTTGACTGCACTGTGGGTTCTAGGGAAAAAACTCAAATCTGTAAAGCAGACCAGCTCTGAATAGGATGAATAAACAGGTGTCTCAAAATCTCTTCCATCCATTTTATACTTTTAAGTGAGAAATGTTGACAATTGTCATCAGTAGAATTTTTTACAGCCTTAATCCAGGAGAAATATCTTTAGTTTTAAGCTCTAGTTACCCTCATCTTTTCAATTAACCACATATGCAACGAGATTCATTTAGAGGAAACCAGATGCTTGTTTTGTCCAAATGTATTGTTTAAGAAAGACTATAATTTCATAGGAAAATGGAAGGACCTTTATTCATTCAATAGAGCTCAGATTAAGAGACTGGAGATCAGATCCAGAGAGGCATTTAGGCACCAAAACAGGAAAGAGAATAGAATAGGATGAGCATCTGTAATATTTCACTGGTCTAGGCCTTTAAAGTCCAAGTAATACCTGCCCCAAAATGAAATTCCCCAAACTTAGTACCCCAAACAATTGTTAAATCAATCTTGGGGATATTTATCATGCATTTTAAGATAACATGCAGGTAAACCAAAGCTGATAAGGCTGAATGTTTAAATCATTAATTTCTACATTTTTTACTGTTTGCTTCTAAGTATATTTAACAAGGCAGGCATCCATCATTAATTACTATGTTTAAAGCTTTTCCCTAAAAGATAAAGAGTTAAAGCAAGTTTCAGGTTGACTTTTGTTACATTATTAGATATTTCCACCATGTGCACAGTTATTTGTACATGTCTGTCTTTCCTGCAAAAGAAATACTACTCAAGAACATATTGTCCGTGAGAAAGAAGAAAAATAAAACAAAAATTCTGCAGATTAATATACAGCAGCATTTTTGATGCTGAAACCGGGATGCTGTTCAGTTGATTAGGCCACAAAATTGATTTACCTTTAAAGATGTTTCACATTATAGCTCTTCACTTCCAGACTCCCAAATGTGGTTCTATTGAAAATCAGTCTTCATTGACAAATTTTTTTGACAAAGCAATAACAAATGAGGCAGGGAATGGCTCCAAGGGGTGTGCTTATTGCTGCCTTCTCAGAACACCCAAAGGCACTCTTAAGAACTGCTTCATTGTCTTTGCTGACAGTAAATGTCAGCAGCCCAACTCCCTGCTGCAGCCTGGAAAGCATCTTCCAGAGCACTCAGGACCCATATTTAAAGACATGATTGTAGGTTTAGTGCAGCTTGTGGAAACATAAAATCCTGCTGAGCATTTCTGGTCAGGCCATTAACAAGGTACCTGTTTGCGTGAGAAGTTCCACAAGGTTCCTGGGACTTCCTTTTAAATATACAGCAAACAATTTATGAGGACCAATAAAAGCAGAAAAAAAAATACTCAAGGGCATGAATGACAACTATCTATCTCATCCCATTTACTTTCTGTAGAAATTAGGCATTTAAATGACATCCGAGGCTCTGAAAAATTCCACCTGCTAATTTTAAAACACAGGATGGTTGAATGTTGTAAAAAATTAGAAAGCATGTCAATCTGAACAAAAGACATCATTGGACTATGAATCTGCTGCAAGCTCATCAAAGACAAATGTCACTGGAAATGTATTCATTAAGTTAGTGCATATATTTAATTCCTTTGTGGTGGAAAAGCTGTGGTTTCTGCTGATTGTTGAAAAATTAAGAAATTTATCCCCCAAAGCCATAGAGAAAAAACATTAGACACTAACTTCATGTGCACTAAGGCATAAAAGGGCATAATTTCAGCTGCTAGCTAAGACATCTGGATCTTTTAAAGGAGTTTCTACAATAGAAAGTTGCATTTTAGGACACAGCAATGATTTTCCCTATGATCACAGGCTTGCTTACCTCATCTCTTTTTCCCCATAAAGCAGGGCTGACTTAGGCTAACCATTGCAAAGCCATCTGTGAGGGTTAGCATGTTACACCCAAATGTGCTTTCTTTCATCATTTGATGTGCTTTGCAAAAAATCACAGGACAGCATGATGAATTTTACCCACCTGTTGTAAGAACTGGAATATTTGTATTCATGGAAACCTTGATGAAAGCTAAAATGGCAGCTGGGGTCCTGTTCATCTTGACACTTTAAAACCTGCACTTTGCTTGCTTTAAAAATTAAAGCAATTGCAAAAGTTGAAGCCTTATACATAACAATATTGAAGGTACAAATTAAGCCCCAGAGAATAACAGAGCTAAGAGCAAAGTCTGGAACATGACTTAACTCAAAGGTGCTGTGCTTATTTTTCAGAATCCAATATGTTAAAAGAATGAATGTGACATTACACAGACAGGATCTAATTTTCTTTGGCTCTATGGAAGGAAGTGAGGGTAAGCATAGTTGCTTTGGTGCCAGATTTTCTAGCAGCTGCATTAAGTCAAACTGCTGAGACAATGTGTTTTAAGCCCTGCACAAAAACATGGTCCTGAACAGGTATGGCAGAAGTAGCTTCCCATCTGGCCTGGCACTTCTGAAGGCAGAAAGGTTTTGTACACAACCTGGGGACATGAATCTTTCTGGTGGAATTCTGTGTCCTGATTTGAGAGATTTGCAAGTGATCAAATGGTCAATAGCACAGAAATCAAGTTTTGTAGGAGCACAAGCATGTGTCGGTACAAATGCAAGGCAATGAAGATAGGGAAAGAATAACCTGAACCATGGTTGCAGGATATCAAAATCTGAACTGACACAAAGTTCACTGAAAAGATCCCAGAAACAGCTAAGACCATCAATTAATTATGAAACAGCTGTCAGCAAATCAAAAAAAAAAAAAAAATAACATCAGTTGGAAAAGTACCAAGAACATGACAAAGACATTATGTTGTTACTGTTAGAGCCTTTGCTTGCCCATATCTTGAGTCCTGTGATAGGTTCTGATCCCAGCAACTCAAAAAGGATGTAGTAGAGTTAGAGAAGGTACAGAGGAAGGTAGCTAAGATGATCATGGCAATGGAGAAGCTGCTTTATGAGAAGATGCTAAAAGGGACAGAAGTCTTAAATAGGATGATAATGATTTACAAAATAATTAAAGCAGTGGATAAAGTGAATGAAGAACTATTACTCGCTGTACCACAATATAGGAACTAGAGGTTACCCATCAAAACTATCCAGAAATCAATTTAAAAGACCTCCAAGATTAGTGACTCAAACACTTTCCCTTGCTTGATAAGCTACAGTAAAGGAACTGAAAAGGACTCCTTATATACAGTCATAGCAGCAATATTGCAGGTTATCACAGGAATATTGTTCACATGTTAGTTACTGTAGATTTAGAGTGAATTATCACTGTGCCTTACAGGAACTGACTGATTAAAAACTGATTTGGGGTTTTTGGAATGCATGCAGGAAAGCTACACAACCTATCAAGGGAAGACAGAAGACACTCACTCCACCGAGAATGTGGCAGACAAGCTGTTTGTTTCAAGCATCCTAGCTCCAGCAGATAGCAATCAGCTTCCTAACTAAATCAGCAGGCTGTAGATCAAAAGGACTGTAATGCATTTTAAAGCACTTCAGAAGAAGGAATGGAAGGTCAATTACCAGAACTGATGCCAAGCTGACAGGCAGAGTCTGCGGACAGAACATGAGGAAAATCAGCCTTCTTGGATCCAGGAAACACTAGGAAATGGGAAAAAGGGCACACACAGTTTGGATTTACTGATTTTGTGGTACACTTTTCTTGAAAACATTTTATTCTAAGAAAATATTAGACAGCTTTAAGAAGAGAACTTGATCACTGTGAGTTACTGTTATTGCCCCACATGGACAATGAGTGGCAGGACCTTTCCTTGCTGAGAAACTCTCAGGATAGCCTGGAGAGTAAAGGAATAGATCAGATTTGAGGGTAGGAGGTGAACCAGGTGCCATGCAGAAACAGATGATAACGAGAAACCAAAAGCAGTAGAATGGGGAAGGCTGCACTCTTCCTGAATTGAAGGTGGCTAAGGTTTCTTTTCAGCTGTCACAGCTGACAGACAGGCTTTGAAAATAAGGTGCGTCACTAATTAACTTTACCCTTAACTGACTGTGTAAAATGACCAGTTTGTGTCAGAAATAATTCCTACCCATGAGGACTGCAGAGAATGCAGGTATGGCAGCTGGTAAGAAAAAGGGATAGACACCCATCTTGCACATGGAGAATGTAAACATAAGATAAAAGACTTGCCTGAAATAGAAAAGGTGTCTCAGACATAAGCAAAGATTGATCCCTAGATTTCTGAATCCTTATTTGAACCCTCAAGTCCAGGACCTCTTTCCCACCTGCAGTAATACTGTCATATTAGGCATATACCCAGCTGGAAAAGTTAATAC